CCTCCCCGTGGCGTCCGCGACAGGCAACCACAGAGCGATCTGGCTCGGTGGAGGCGGTGTCGGCAAGACGCGCACCCTCTCCAAAGTGGTGGAGCCGATGGCCATCACTTACTTCGGCGAGCAGGGGTACCTCGGCAAAGCGCAGTCCAACCACGCCGCACACAACCTCGGCCCGCGCGGCAGGACCATGCATTCCTCCAATGGCCTGCTCATGTCGGATTCCATGCAGACAGCCAGGCTGCGCTTGACGCCACAGACGCAGAAAAAGCTGGATCGCCTCACAGGCACACTCGGCGTCGACGTGATCGATGAGCTGGGTGCTGTGCCGGGGCCTTTGCTGCATGCAGATGCACTGCGCACGACCTACGGCAGGGCGTTGCGCTACAACCTGGACCCCGCGAAGTACATGCGCCCGCAGGAGACGTGGGGACGCATGCCTGTGAAGATCTTGTGCGGAGACTTCTACCAGTTGCCGCCAGTCCCCGCCACCGCTTCCCTGCTGGCGCCTCACGCGGGCCAATCCTACGAACACCAACAGGGTAGGAAGTTGCTCGCCGACATCGAGTACGTCATCGATTTCGTGCAGATGCAGCGCTTTACAGACCCGTTGCAACTCGAGGTTCTCCACGCCATGAGAACTCCAGGCGGAAAAAAGATCTCTGACGAGAGCTGGCAGGCGATCGTCAAAACAGAGGTCGTTAGCTCTAGCGGTGCTGCTCAGCCTGCTGCCAGCAGCAGCCAAGCCGCTCAGCCACCTCAGTGGGGCCCTCGGTTGCGTGCAGCACGAGGCTGGTACGAGTCGGCCTATGAGTGGCGCATCGTCTCTTACGCCATGCATGCACAGGCCAAGCTTGATGCGCACGATGCTGGCCAGCTGCTCTTTTACGTCCCAGCAATCGACAGACCAGCTGCGCGCCTCGCGAAGCCTGATTACGACGAGATGCGCGCGGAGCCCAACATCGGCGCTACCGCAAAAATGCCGGGGCTGCTGCCGCTCTTCGTTGGCATGGAGGTCATCCTGACAGAATCCGTCTTGCCGCCGAAGTATGTCCGTGGCGCGCCAGGCAAAGTGGTAGGCATAGAGCTGCACGCTCTGGAGCCTCCGGTGGAGGGCCGCCCGTCCATTGTCTCGGACGGCGTGGTCGTACTCTACTACATGCCAAAGGCCGTCTATGTCAAGATCGATGACAGCGATGAACTTTTCTTGAAGGCCGCGCCGGTGACAGCTGGCAGTGCTTCTCAGCCTGCCGGCCCCGACCTGCGCGGAGTGCTCGCGATCACCCCGCAGGCGCGCCCCTGGAAGTTCAAAGCGAAGACAGGTGGCCCGGCCATCGCGGTGTCCAGGACGCAGTTGACCGTGCTGCCCAAAAAGCAGGGGACTCTGCATGGCGTCCAGGGCAAGACGACGGACCCAGGCTTCATCGTGCACTGGACGTTTCCGCCAGGACTCAAGAAGGAGTCCATTTGGCTTGCCTACTACGTCAGCCTGTCGCGCCCCAGAAGCTTCAACCAACTCTTGAGCCACGGCTTGCCTGACCGGAGCATCATCGAATCCGGCCCCCCGGAGCAGATCGCCAAGGCCTTTGCCGAGCTCTTCACGGACAAGATTGCCGCGACGAAGATCGCTTGCGCGAAGGCCCGACAGCAACTGGGATGGCCTGCGCGAGCTTGAGGAGTCATGAGATGCAGGTTGCGTTGTGGCGGTGCTGTTCAGTCTGTCCGTCTGCATTCGCGTGGTGCTTCTCAGCCTACATGCGCGTGGTGCTTCTCAGCCTGCGCTCGTGTGCAGCTGTGCGCGGTGAGCCTGCACGTGTCGCGGAATGCTTTTCAGCCTGCGCGTGTCTGCAATGCTTTTCAGCCTACACGCTTTGCAGCTTCTCCGCTTCGCACGCCGCTCCTCAGCGCGGTCCTCTGAAAAAAGAGCAGGCATCATCTCATCTGGATGTTCATCTGAATCTTAAGGGGAATGCTTTCAGATATGCTTCTACACATCGCTGTTAGGTTGCTTTGCCGGGATAATTTGAGCATTGTTTGAACGCCCTCTTGGTGCTCTTTTGGCAGCTCTTGCATTCTTGCTGGGGCTCTTTTTTGCGGAGTGGTGTCTTGGGGCCTTCGTGGGCGAAGCTCGGTGCCTGGGAGAGGGCCTCCTGCGGCATCCGTGGGGAGTATCGATCAAAGGAAGGGGAGTCCTCTAGGGTATAGCCAGGACCCCAGGTAAGGAAATCTGGTTATTAGTAGGGCCCCGGAGCCCGTAAACTGGCCAGAATCTCTAAACCAGGTCTGCCACAGCTGGTGTTTTTCGGGTGACGGCAGTTCCGGTTCGTGGAACGGGGCGGGGGGGGCGTCCCCCAGTACACATCACCAAACCAGGTCCCACTAAACCCATTTTTGGCAATGCCCGATCCTCGATTTCGCACGCTCCCCCTTCAGGAGCTGCTCTCAACATCGCCTCTTGGAGCCCTGTTGGGGCTCTTTTCGGAAGTCTTGAGGTCTTCGTGGGGCCATTTTGGGGCGCCTTGGAGGGGCCCTCTGGTGGCCATCTTGAAGCTCTCTTTGGGCCCCCTTGGGAGCCATTCAGAGCCTCTTGCGGCCATCTTGGAGGCCATCGGTGAATGGAAGGGAGATCCTTTAAGTGCACCCCCTCTGGGGCCATGCACATCGCCGCTTGTGGCCCTCCTGAGGCCGTCTTGGGAGCCTTTTGGGCGCTCTTGGGGGCGTCTTGGGGACGTATTGGGCATTTGTTGGGCCATCTTGGGGCCATCTTGAGGTCCCACAAGCGCACAGGAAGCGACACAGCAATGAGGCAAACATCATGGACATGCTTTGGGTTTGGGAAGGATTTGGGCTTCTCGGAGGGTCCAGGGGGTCTCCGAGAGCGGAATCGTCTTCTGGCCCTCTTGGGGCTTCCTGGAGGCATGTCGGAAACCATCTTGAGCCATATTCTGCTATTTTGAGCCATTTGGGATGTCATCTTGGAGCATCGGAGGCCCTCTTGGAGACATCGTGGGCGAAAAAGGCCCCTCTGACACGTCGCAGAACCGCAACAACAGAAACTCAGGGATGGGAAGGGGAGGATACCCCTTCCCGAAGGGTAGAGGGGTTGGGGAGGAGGAAAGAGAAACCTCGTTAGAACACCTACGCCAGAGGTCTGGTAGGATTCTTTCACGCCCTCGCGTGCCGGGGCGCACGCCAGCGGGTTTCGGTGTGGTTGCCTACCCTCCGCCGGGTGATCTCTGGCAGGTGCGCGAAATTGAATAATTTTTCTGCTTGTCACCGAGCGCGTTCCACTACTCGCAAAGTGCCTACTCGCAAACGTCCGAAAGATAGCCTTGCTTCAGTATAAGAAGTCGAAGATCCCTGGCGGTGGATCCAGGCCATTTGCGAGCAGTTCCTTTGCGAGTAGTGGAACGCGCTTGTCTACAGTGTCCCGGCTGCTGCTCCTCGCTCCTTGCGCCTCTTCCTCCTTAGGTTCGGCGTCTGGGTTTTTGTCTCATCGTTTGCGTGCGCCCAGTTTTCGAAGAAGAGAAAACGGAGTAAATATGAACTTTTGACGGACCGCGCTGATTTCTTGGATCCGCGCTGGGCCCGCCCAGCGGCGCCTGGCGCGCTCCGCGCGCCAGTGAGGGGGGTCCAGCTCAGATCCAAGCAGTCCGCGCGGACAGTCAACAGCTGATGTTCATGCCGTTTATCGTTCCTGTAACAGAGGGCCAAGACGTTGATCTCCCCCGTGGACCTGCATGAGGAACGACAGGAGACCAGCCAGACGCTTCCCCGCGTCAGCCGCTCCCTGTACGGAACAGCTGCTCTGGTTGCCATCTAGCTTCTGAGAGTCACCATGGGGGCCTGAGAGGCCAGTATGATTGAGCTGACAGCTGCGGCTCGCCGAGGTCCTTCGCTTCAGTAGTTTCGGCACCCGCGGTCCTCGTGGTGGCCTTCTTGGGGAGCCGGTTCCTGGACCCCGGGGGCTTCAGCTTCTCTTCCCGAGTTGTTCCGAGGCGGCTCAGGCCTGGAGCGGCCCCAGCAGGGCTCGTTTCGAGTCCTCCGATTCGATTCAATTCGATTTCGGTGGCTTCCCATTCCGACTCGATTCGACTTGGGATTCCGTTGTGGGGTCCGATTCGGAAGCATACTAGCTTGCCGAGTTCTGCCGATTCGATTTCTCCCGATGTGGCTGCCGAGTTTCGCCGACCCGATTCATCTCGATCGCCGATCCGATTTGCCGATTCGATTCCGGGCTCCCTCTCATGCCACAGAGCGGCCACGCACGGCGACAGATTTGAGGACCATCCTTTCTCTCGGGACCCCTTCTCTTCGTTGCAGCTCTCGGGGGCCAGATCGTCGAGAAGCAAGATGCAGCCAAGGCGCTGTAAAGAGAGCGCAGCTCGGGCACTGGGCTCGCGGCTCCTTTCTCACGTGCTTCCGTGGTTGTTCCTCTGGCGCTCCGCTCGTCTTGCAGCCAGGCGCATTTGGGCCACAAAGGGGCCTCGCCTGATGATGTTCACACTTGCTTAAGCCTTGATCGCCAGAACGAGTTTCGAGCCCCAGGAAGGTACCGAAGCTGGGGGGGCTCGCGTGTCGGGCCCTGGGAGGCGACACTCGTTCGACACTGCTTCGATATTCTTCTGGGTGCTCGAAATTATCTCTGGGATCGGCCCCCAAGCACGATGCGATGGGAGCAGCATCACTTTTGGGCCACGAGGGGGCCCCATCTCGGATTGAGCGCCCCCCCGTGGCCCCGCACCTGCCCCGACGGGCGCCCTGCCAGGCTGTTACCAGCCTCGGACTTATCCCTATCCCTAAGATTGACACGCCAAAAGGCGATGACAATCTTAGGGATGCGCCCTCAATAAATGAGGGAATCCCTAAGATTGGCATCGTGATGAGGAGATGCCCAGCATAGGGATAGGGATATGTTCCAGGCTGGTAAGGCTGGTAAGGCTGGGGGGGGGGGGGCGGCAGCCCACGCGCCGAAGCGGGGAGGTTTTCGGGCCCGCGCGCAGGGCGGCGGCGCCGAGCTCCAGCAGCCGGCCGTGGTCGTCCGGGCCGCTCCCCCAACAATCTGGACGCCCGAAATGGGCACGGAGAGAATGGGTACAATGCCCAACATCAGTTCCTGTTCATTTTGAACAGGATTCCCTGTCCACGCCGCCGCGGCCTGTGTCCATTCGAGACAGAAGGCCGCCTGCCCAACAGCGGCCGCCATTGGTTCGGGACAACATTTGCTGTTGGGCATTGTGCCCATTGTTTCCGTGCCCATTTCGGGCGTCCAAAAACGAAGCGGAGCCCACCCCGTCTGCAGGCCTCCAGGCCTCCCAGACGGGGAGCGGAGTAGACGGGATCGGAGGATCGCCGATGTATCGCCGATGCGGCTCGATGTGCAGCCCGATATGCTTCACGCCGACGTCGCCGATGCACCGCCGATGCATCGCCGATGCATCGCTGATGCGGCGTGATCCTCCGACCCCATCGGCTCCGACCCCGCTAGGAGGCCTCGGACTCCCCGGCGGAAGCCGGTGGAGAGCTGCCGTGCGCTGGGCGAGGCGAGGTGCAGTTTTTGTGCACCTGTGGGGCCATAGAGAGGGCCCGAGGGGGGCATGTTTCCTTGCCCCCGCCCCCATGAGCAGCGCCCAAGGCTGGCGGAGGCCAGCGGAGGCTCAAGCTCGCCGCTCCAAGGAAAGGTCGGCGTTGGCCGGCAGAGGTACCCAGGGCTTCAGGAGTCGGCCGACGACGTGAGGGAGGAGGCTCATCCCCTGAATCCTCAGGTCGGCGGGGGTCAGTGGGGCACGCAGTGGACCACGCTGGTCGTGGACTTCTTTGAGCCCATCGTGCTGGGCGATAAGGATCGGGGCTCGCACTCCCTTTCCTTGCGTCGAGTCGTGTCTCTTGTCACCCCACGCGTTCACTGTTTCAATTGCACGATCTCCAGGGGCCGTTCCTCCTTTCTCCTTCCTCCTTCCCTTTTCCTCTTTCCCCTTTTCCTTCCTCCTTCTTTCCTCCTTCCCCTTCAGTATTTCCCACCTTCTTTCTTTCTGTTTTTTCATTCTGCATTATTCTTTCTTGTTTCCTCCTTCCTCTTTACTCCTCCCCCTTTCTTCATCTTACCTCCTCCCTCCTTCCTTTTTCCTGCCTCATCCCCCTTTTTTTCCTCCTCCATGTTTCGCCATTAATGCTTTCACCTTTCTCCTGTATTCCTTCTTCCTCCTTTCCTCCTCGTTCCTTCTTCCTCCTTCACTTTTCTTCCTTTATGTTTCCTCTGTCGTCTATCTTCATTTGTCTTTTCTTCCTCTCTTCTTCCTTCGCCCTCGTCAGTCGTATCTCCTCATTCCCCCTTCTCCTGCCTTCCTTCGTCGTCTTTCCTTGTTCATTTCTGCTTCTCCATTCCTCTCCTCTTTCCTCCTTCGTTGTTGTTCCCTTATGTGTCCTTCCTCTTTCCTCATCCATCCTTCCTCGTTCATCCTTCCTCTTTCCTCGTTCCTCTTCCTTATGGCTTCCTTATCTCTGTTTCCCTTTTTCCTCTTTCATATGTTACCCTTCCTCCTTCCTATTTCCTCATTCTGTTTCCCCCCTCTTCCTCTCTCCTACCTCGCTCCTCCTTCTTCTTGCCCTCCTTCACATCTCCTCCTTCCCTTCTCGTCGCTCCTCCCTCCTCCCTTCCTCCTGCCTTTGTTTTCGTTCCTCTTTCCTCTACATCCTCCCTCCTCTTTCCTGTACATCCTCCCTCCTCCTCCCTCCTCGCTTCCTCCCGCCTTTGTCTTCCTTCCTCTCCCCTCCACGTCCCCTCTCCTCTGTCGTCGTTCCTCCCTCCTTCCCCCGGATGGCCCTTGCACCTCGGGGCGCCCCTCCTCCTCCGGATGGCCTTCTGCCGTCGTCGTTCTTCCCTTCTCCGGATGGCCTCTCCGCCTCTCCTCCCTCGTCCTTCTTTCCTTCTTCCCTTCTTCCCCCGCATGGCCTCTGCCTCCCTCCCCTCCTCCTCTCCAGGGAGGGCCTTTGCACCTCGGGGCGCCCGCCCGGCGCCTCCCCGCCAGGCTGGCCCACCGCGGGCGGGGCGCGGCGTGGCCGACCCCCCCCCCCCCCGCCCGCTCGGGACGATCGACACGGGCTGGAGGCGGGCGTGTCCCTCCACAGGAGGAACAGTCAGGCATAGCAACATATAGCCTTGGGACGATGTTTGGACCATTACGTTGGCCATTTGGGCGTTTGTGTGTTGACCATCTCATACCCTCGGTCCAGGATCCGCCTGTAGGGGGGCCTGCCCGACCTGAACCTACATGGGCACGGAAAGGAGGGGCCGCTGGTTTCGCCGACGGCTGGTTCCGCCCGGCTGGTTTTGCCGCCCGGCGAAGCCAGCTCCGTCGGCGAAACCAGCTGCCGTCGGCGACACTGCCCGACCTGCCCGCTCGGGACGCTCGGCATGGGCTGAAGTCGGGCGTGTCCCTCCTCAGGAGGAACATTCAAGCATAGTCAACAATTCAAGCACATTAAACAAATCGTCAGGGGACGACTTTGGGATTATTCTTTTGACCATGCTGGCGTATTGTTTGACAATGTTTGAGCTTTCGTCAAGAATCCGCCTGTAGGGGGACGTGCCCGACCTGAACGTGGGCACGGGGAGGAGGGGCACGAAGACCGACAGCACCGCCCGCTCATTTTGAACAGCACCCGTTGTCGCTGTCGCCGCGGGCGGTGTCCATGTGAGACAGGGGGCCGCAGGCCCGGCAGCGGATGGCGTCGGTGTTGGCCGGCCCTTTCCCCCCGCTTGGGAGGATCGATTTGGGCACGGAAAGCAGGGCCACGAATACCAGCAGCATCGCCTGCGCATTTTGGAACTTCACCGTGCGCGTTCCGCTACTCGCAGAGTGCCTATTCGCAAACGCCAGAAACAACATGAATCCAGGCCGTTTGCGAGTAGTAGCTTTGCGAGTAGTGGAACGCGCACGTCCAGAACAGGACTCGCTGTCGGTGTCGCCGCGGACGTTGTCCATTTGAGACAGGGGGCCGCATGCCCTACAGCGGGTGGCGTCGGTTTTGGCAAACATCTGTTGCTGGGCATCGTGCCAACGGTTTTTGTGCCCGTTGCGGGCGTTCGTGGAGCCGCGGTGGTTTGCGCGGGCGCGGGTGCAGTCGAGCACCTGGTCACAAGGGCCTGGAGCAAGAACGGGAGGAGGAGGAGGAGGAGGGCGAAGGGGAGGAGGAGGAGGAGGAGGAGGAGGAGGAGGAGGAGGAGGAGGAGGAGGAGGAGGAGGAGGGGGAGGGGGAGGAGGAGGAGTTCTCTCCTCGAAGGCTCAATGCCCCGCGGCGATGCTCCAAACACGAAGGGCACCCCAGGGCGGGAATGGCCCGAACGCGAAGAGCATGAGATGGTCCCGTTACAAAGCTAAGGTTAAGTAGGGCCTGTCCCTCTACATGAGAAATACTCGAACACAGTCCAACAATAGTCTGGGGACGATGTTTGAATTATTGTTGGACTGCCCAACATCCGCCGGTATGGGGGACATGCCCGACCTAAAGCTAAGGTTGTTCGTGACCCTCGTGCCAGCGGTGTCTGGCGTGTGCTTCCTGGCAGAGAGCGGCGGAGGCGCTCCGAAGCGGCTGCTGGCTCGGGCTGCGACGATGCGCGACGGTTGCGCCCTCCCAGACCCCCTCGGGTCATGAAAAGATCACGACGCGAGGCTTTTCCGTAGTTTCGGCCTCTGGGGGCCTTTACCGGGCCTCGGGACCGTCAACAAACGACCTTCAGGATGAAAAACCGGTCCCGGGGAATGAGTCCAGACCTCGGGGGGTCGCGTCATGAAAAAAACATGGCGCCAGGGGTCGAAAGTGATGAATTTTTCCGTGCTGTCCAATACGTCGTGTTCGAAAGTCTGGATTTACGTGCACCGTGGACACTGCTACACAACAGAAACTGGATTGAAAAGGAAGTAAAGCTTGCAGGAGGGGTGAGGGAGCCGGAGGAAAGGCGATCGCGAGAGAGCGCATACAGTCAAGGCGCGGACATAAGATCCTTTGTGGGTCCAGGAACGGCTCGGGTTTTCGGGCCGTTCCTTCGGTCTAGGTAGAGTGCCTCGCCGCTTGGGGGCCGTGTTGGGGCCTCTTGGGGGGCACCCGGGAGGCAATTTTGAGGCCTCTTGGGGCTTCTTGGGGTGCCTCTTGGGTGCCTCTTGGGGCTTCGTGGGGTGCCTCTTGGAGGCCCCTCGGGGCCTCTTGGGGGCCTCTTGGGCCCTCCTGGGGGCCTCTTGGGGCTGAAGGCTGGACTTTTCGATTCCTGCTCCCCTTCTTGGGCCCCTCCTGGGGCCGTTTTGGGGCACTCTAAGGTCGTCTTGGGGCCATCTTGGGCTGTCGTGGCCGTCTTGGGGCCCTCTTGGAGACTTCTTGGGCCGTCTTGTGGCGGTCTTGGAAAGGCGAAAAGGCGAGAACGCCAAAAACCTTCAACAACAACTGACGGAAAATCATTAATTTCTGCCTCTGTGGGCCCTCTTGGAGGCTTCTTGGGGCGTCTTGAAGGCGCTTTGGGCTGTCTGGGGGCCATCTGTCTTGGATCGCTCTTGGACCGTCTCGGACCATGTTGAGCTCTTTTGGAGGCCACTTGAAGCGCTCCTGGAGCGCTCTTGGGGAGCCTGCTGGGACCTGGCCAGGACCTGGCCGGGACCTGCCCGGGACCTTGCCAGGACTTTGCCGGGCTATTTTTTAGCCAGGAACCCCAGGGGCGGCCCCGCGCGCGCGAACTAGACATAGTGTTAACCAGTTACCGGAGATCTTAGCACACCCTTGGCCCGTTGGGCCGGCGAATTTGGCGCTCATTCTGGCAATGCCATGACTGTAGTCGAACAGACGAGCTTGGGTCTGGACCATTCGGAGTCTGGAGGGTTCAATGCCACGGGCACTGCCGCAATTCAAGGCTTCCTTTCGGAGGGGGACAATGGCTGCAATGGAGTGTGGCCGACATCGTCAGCAATCTCGGGGACCACGGTCTCGAGAGCAGCTGACACGGGAGAGGCGCACCGCCACGATCCGACCGCTGTTCGGCCATAGTTCCCTGCATGGGCTCGCCCTTTCCACTGGCCCCGCGAGCGCGTGGCCGAGCCGTGTCGGCGCTCCGCTGTCCGACCTCTGCCTCCCCACCTGCAGGTTGTGTTGGGCCATGAGTTCTCTATTGGAGGAATATATTTAAAACTAACCAACAAGTAGTATTGGGACGTTTTTTACTCTTTTGGGGGACTTTGGGAATCTGATTGTAATACTTCTGATTGTTCGTCTCAAGCCCGCCTGTAGGGGGACGCGCCCGACCTAAATCCAGCCTCACGGGGCATACATCACAGGGGCCGCTTGACCAATCCATAGTGCTGAGTCGAAACACTCGTCAGCACCTGCGAACACCCGCGCGTGCAGGCATCGGTGGGAGCCATCGCCAAGCCAGGTGCTGTTGTGCTCTTGCCTTTTGAGGGGAGGCCTCAATTGACGATCATGCTTGAGTAACTAATTACCTTCTCCCCGCACCCAGGTCCTGTATGCATGGACCTGCAACCCAGACTAGCGTACGCCTGAAGTTAGGATAGCGGTTTCGCCTCTTCCGTTCTTGTTTCCTTCCTTTCTCCCTCCTCGCTGATTCCCCTGCCCTGCTCCCTCCCTCCCTTCCCTCCTGCTCCCTTCCCCCCCCCCCTTGCCAATCGACTGCTCTCCTTACTCTTGCATTCCCTCTCTTCCCACTCCCTCTTCCTCCCTCTTCCGAGAGGACGAGCTTGAGGTGCGTGTCAAGAACGGGGCCCTGGAGGATAGCCCGCGCCCAATCCATTTCGCTTCTCCTGCTCCTGTTCCCCCTCTTTCCTCATCCTCTTCCCTCTCCCCCTCTCCCCTGCCAGCCTTTCTCGCCCCATCGCTCCACATCTTCTTCCCTCTTCGCCCTCACCTGCCTCGCCACTCTTCCCTCCCTCCCTCCGATCAAGGGAGGAAGGACCACTCGGACCGGACAATTGGCGCTTACTAAACGGCCCTGGGCGTTTACCAAACAGCCCTGCCTTGTGTGATTCCTACTTTGGCTGCGCTTACTGAACGGCTTCGCGCGTCGGGGTGGTTATTATCGGGGTGGATTTTCTGCCCTCTAATTATTCTTCACCCCGCATTCGCCCCTCCCAACTCCCTCTATCCCTGCCTCCCGTTCTCCTCCCTTCCCCTATTCCTCCCCTTGCTCTTTCCTCCGCGTTCGCCTTCCCTCTTCCATCTACATCGGCTCAACACATACAGTCTGAACACTACCCTTAGGTCGGGCGTGTTCCCCTACAGGCGGACTTCGGACGAAAAGAATCAAATATCATTTTTCGAAAATAGTCAATGGTAGAATTACTCACTGCGTGGAGCTCCCCATATGTGCATCTCATGTTTTATGTCATGCCATAGTGAGCGTCTGTTCATGAGCGCTTAACTACAATAGCGCGTCCACGTGGGCGACAGGGCCGACGAAGACGAGTGAATCCTAATGCGAGTGAGTGAGTATGAGTCAGAGTGAGCTTTGAGTATGATTGAATATGAGCCTCCCATTCATTCCCCCTCCTCAAACTGGCCGCGAACGGACCCGTGAAAACACCCATGGCGGCTCCCCTTAGGGGTGCTGAAACCAGCGCCCCGCCTGAGACACCCTCAGCATCTGCTCTGAAAGCGAAGGATGTTGGGCATGAAAACTAACAAACCGCTTGGGACATCCCCACACACTGGCAGCGAACGGGCCCGTGTCCTACCCCCTGGCGGCTCCTCTTTGGGGTGCTGAAACCAGCGCCCCGCCTGAGACATCCTCACCATCTGCTTTGAAGCCAAGGATGTTGGGCATGAGAACGAGCAAGCCGCCTGAAACATCCCCACAAACTGGCCGCGAACGGGCCCGTGAAAACACCCCTGGCGGCTCCCCTTCGGGGTGCTGAAACCAGCGCCCCGCCTGAGACATCTTCTCAATCTGCTCTGAAAGCCAAGGATGTTAGGCATGAAAACAGCCAAACCGCCTGAAACATCCCCACAAACTGGCCGCGAACGGGCCCGTGAAAACACTCCTGGCGGCTCCCTTTAGAGGTGCTGCAACCAGCGCCCCACCTGAGACATCTTCTGCACCTGTTCTGAAAGCCAAGGATGTTGGGCATGAAAACGAACAAACCGTCTGAGACATCCCCACAAACTGGCCGCGAACAGGCCCGTGAAAACACCTCTGGCGGCTCCCCTTAGGGGTGCTGAAACCAGCGCCCCGCCTGAGACATCCTCAACATCTGCCCTGAACGCCAAGGATGTTGGGCATGAACACGAGCAAACCGCCTGAGGCATCCCCACAAATTGGCCGCGAACGGGCCCGTGAAAACACCCCTGGCGGTTCCCTTTAGGGGTGCTGCAACCAGCGCCCCGCCTGAGACATCCTCAACATCTGCTCTGAAAGCCAAGGATGTTGGGCATGAAAACGAGCAAACCGCTTGAGACATCCCCACAAACTGGCCGCGAACGGGCCCGTGAAAACACCCCTGTCGGCTCCCCTTTGGGGTGCTGAAACCGGCGCCCCGCCTGAGACATCCTCATAAACTGCTTTAAACGCAGACGAGTCTGCCCACCAAAACAGCCAAACCGCCTGAAACATCCCCACAAACTGGCCGCGAACAGGCCCGTGAAAACACCCCTGGCGGCGCCCCATGGGGGTGCTGAAACCAGCGCCCCGCCTGAGACATCCTCGCAAACTGCTCTAAACGCAGACGAGTCCGCCCACCAAAACAGCCAAACCGCCTGAGACATCCCCACAACTGGCCGCGAACGGGCCCGTGAAAACACCCTTGGCGGCTCCCCACGCCTGAGACATACTCCGGATCTTCTGTGTGTTGAATAAGTCTGCGTATGAATAAGTCTGACTATGAGAAGGTCTGGGTATGAGTAAGTCTGTGTATGAGTACGTCTGTGTATGAGTAAGTCTGTGTATGAGTACGTCTGGGTAGGAGTAAGTATGGGTAGGATCAAGTCTGTGTATGGGTAAGTCTGTGTATGTGTACGTCTGGGTATGAGTAAGTCTGAGTATGAGTATGTCTGAGTATGAGTATGTCTGAGTATGAGTAAGTCTGTGTATGAGTACGTCTGGGTATGAGGAAGTCTGAGTATGAGTAAGTCCGAGAGGAGGGGAGGAGAAGAAGAGGGAGAAGGAGGCGTCCAAGTAATAACAAGAACCCCATCTTAGGATATGGGGAACAATCGTCCACATATTATTGTTTGACTATTTTTGAGTATTCCCCCTGTAGAGGGACATGCCCGACTTAATACTACTCTCCCTCCCCTGTCTCTGTCCCAAAGATGTACGGCCCTCTCCGCGTATTGTTTTGTTCATTCGAAGGGATTCCAGATTATGTTTCTTCGGTTATGATGTTCCAACCTACTTTAGCCTTTGTAACCAGAAAGAATATCGAGCACCAGAGAAGTGCCGAAACTCGAGGGTTTTCACGTGTCCGGTCCTGGGAAACGCTCGTCCGACATTGTTTCGACACTGTCTCGATACTTTTCCGGGTGCTCGAAATGAGTTCTGGGATGTGGTCCTCGAGTACGATGGGAGCAACATGGGTCTGCGGTGTTCTGAAAAAAAGTGTTCCCGCTGCAGCGTGGGCTTCGTGCTCTCTTCGGCGCTCTGCTCCCGCCGTTCAGACGGGCGCCATCGCCCCAGCGCGGGCCGCTTTTGTGGATCCGCCTCACCTTCACGCTGTCACCCGCCTAATTGGAAGTCGGGCATGTCCCTTCACGGGAGGAATATTCAAAGACAGTGAAAGCAATTGCTTGGGGACGATGTTTCGACTAGGTTTGACCATTTGGGCGTAAGATGTGAATGTTTTGTTCGTCCCAAATCCGCCTGTAGGAGGACACGCCCGACCTAAGCCTCATTTCCCCTTCCCCCTCTTCTCCTCATCCTCTTGCTCGTCCCGCTAGTTCCGCCGTCGCCGCCGTCGCTGCCTGTGCCTCCTTGTTCTCTGAACCTCGTGCCCCCTGCGCGGGCGGGCGCGCGCGAGGCCAGCCTGGAACCTAGAACCTAGGGAGGAGGAGGATGAAGAGGCGGAGAAGGATGAGCAATGTAAGCAGCTCCTCGTTTCACTCTAGCTCTTGCTGGTGTTGGTCGTCCTCGTCCTCCTCCCCATCCATCCTCCTCCGCCTCCTCCTGGCCATCTTCCTGCTTGTTCGCCCACTCTTCCTCCGGTGTGAGCAGCTCCTCGTCTGGTCCGATGGTGCGTAGCACGATGGGCTCGTTCTTGGAGTTCCAGGTCCGTCATGGCACGCGTCGGCGGATTGGGCAACGGCAGCGCAATTGGAAGGTATAGGTGGGAGGGGTTGGATGTCAGGTATGGCGCGAGCGCGCTTAGCTTGATATCCGTAATACTTCCCATTCTCCCTGGATCCAATCCGACCGGGGCATCTTCACTCCCGCTTGTTGTCTTGTAGCGCACAGGTGGTTTTCATTCCAAACGTTGTGTGCCTCAGAAATTGGCACCCGCAGCAGCGGTGGCCTCATTTCGGGATCGGCGATTTGCTCCCGTCGTTCAGAGTGGCGCTCTCGCCCCAGCACGGGCCTGATTTCTGGATCGGAGTCCTTCCTCGTCGTCGTCGCCCCCTGGTTCTCCCCCTGGCCCTCCAGCTCCTCCCACTCTATTCCTGCTCCTGGTGGTGCGGCTGTTCCTCCTCCTCCTTACCATCGTCCTCATCTTTTCTCGTCCTCCTGCTCATCCACTTGCTCATCCGCCACCTCCTCCAGTGTACCAAACTCCCATCTGCGCTTGCGCACAACGCGATGCGGTTATTCTGGGGGTTGCAGGTCCGTCATGACACCCGTCGACTGATACGGCCGTCGTTAGCACAATGGGACGGGATATGTAGGTGGGAGGGGTAGGAATTCAGGTATGGCGCGGGTGCAGTTAGCTTGCCTCCACCCGTTCTCTTTGATTATTGTTCCTCCTCCTCCGCCTCCTCTGGCCCCGTCCCCCTCACCTCTTTTTTGTTGCCATCCACGGCGCCTCAAACGATGCTGCAGACTGGAGGCTGAGACTGCAGCGGCAGATAAGATTACTGGCACAAGGTTTTGACCAGGTCCAAATCGAGAGTCACTCCCGCTTTGTCAAGGTGCTTCCCCTGCCTGATTTTGTTCCAGTTGCGATTGCCCGTGGTGGTCGGCGGTTTGCAGGTTTTGCACAAGTTACACACCTGAGCTCCCGACGAGTACGACCGGCACTTAGGGCAAAAAACATGTGCGAATTATCGCTGGCCTCCAGCGCGATGACACGGTGCTGGAGCCGATCCAAAACTACACTGTCTAGTCTGCTGTGGCCTCTGCACGACCCAGCAACAGGGACAGAGTGAGTAGATCCCTTCAACCAGACTCTGCAACGCCAGAAGCCCGACATGTGAGCCCACTGATGGGGACCCCTCGAAGCAGCAGGAGGAGCAGGAGGGGGAGGAACGCGCTCCAACCCACGAAACTCCACACGAGGAAACAAGGTAAGGACAGCAGCAGCGAGGTCCATGACGCAACGAACGATCTTGACCTTCAAATCAACCGCTTCCAAGGCTCCTGCACAAAACTAAGGGTGCCAACTCACAGCACGCTTGGCCCCCGCATCTGCAAAGGAATTACCCTGTCGGATGAAGCGCCCATGGGCGCTGATCCCCGACTCGTCCAAGTCCTTGTGAGCATCTACCTTACAGAGGCTGGAAATCTTAGAGCCCGCTCACGACACTCCGTGGATGAGCAGCCCAGAGTACTGGAGCTTGGGCGACAAAAAC